CTGAGATTTTTTTGCTCGATGATAGCCAAGGATCATTTTGTAATATTATACATGCAGAGGAACAATGTGGACTCCATCCCATGTTGTGTTCAATATAGGACTTATAGCAACATATGCGATAGACCATTTTCCGTTCACTGCGAGAATCACGCGTTATGAGTGAAATCGAACGTAAAAACAGGACAAACAAAGGTCATAGCGTCGTAGTGGCGTCAAACATCGCGTGGGATTCGACACACGCGAAAGTATTTTGGGGGGACATTTCCATGCTTAATAATGTGCTGTCCACATTTGATGATAGGCAATTTCGATTAAATAAGGGTATTCGGAAGCAATATTCCTTTGTCGAAGATCGGCCGGTCGATGTGAGCTACGAAATAAAGAAATTCGAGTTCAAAATCAAATTGTTCGATTTTTGCGGCAGACGTTCGACGCGCGTCTTTCATGCATCTCGCGAGATCTTGCAATTGTACGGAAAATCACCTATTGTTTACGTGAAATTCAATACACACTGCGAGACTGTCACTGCACTTTAAGGTTATGCTGAACATAGCCTAAGTTTGTACTTTACACTATCTCATAAGAAGATCGCCATACATAATCAACATCATTATAATATCTTTGTCTCACTACCAACAAGGAACAGATACACAAGAACCAACAATGCACTGTAACGTAATGTGTTTAATTTTTACCCACAATACAATGCAACGTCATATAGAATGCTTACATTTTTGCCAACTAGCATGTGAATATTCTTATGGACTAGAGGTCGTGTGCAGAGGTGCCCGAGCTTGCTAGGACATGTAAGCTGCACGACAGAGGGCTGCAAAAGCCATAAAGTCCATAAAGAACTCATCATATTTCTCATAGGTGCAATTACAATTTTACCACAGCATGATATCAAACACACAATGTAATTTACAATGACTGGTTTCATTTTCTGAGTTGAGGTTGCTATGAACAAGCCAGCTGCTTGGGACACCCAAGAAAGTAGTTATGTTCACAAGTAAGGCATATACCATCACATAGTATTTTATCAGATCAATGAAAGACAATCTGTGATATGATAAACTGCACTACAGCCGAAAGAGGGTGAAAAATGACCTGGTTGGGACACCCAAAAAAGTAGTCATGTTCACAAGTAAGGCATATACGATCACATGATATTTCAACAGATCAATGAAAGACAATCTGTGATATGATAAACTACACTACAGCCGTAAGAGGGTGAAAAATGACCTGGTTGGGACACCCAAAAAAGTAGTCATGTTCACAAGTAAGGCATATACGATCACATGATATTTCAACAGATCAATGAAAGACAATCTGTGATATGATAAACTACACTACAGCCGTAAGAGGGTGAAAAATGACCTGGTTGGGACACCCAAAAAAGTAGTCATGTTCACAAGTAAGGCATATACAATCACATGATATTTCAACAGATCAATGAAAGACAATCTGTGATATGATAAACTACACTACAGCCGTAAGAGGGTGAAAAATGGGACAACCCAGACAGTAGCTATGTAATTGATATGTACAGAATTGTCTGGGACACATTTAAGAAATACTGTAGAATACTTTATTTTCGCTTGGAATTTATTTTCGCTATTTTCGCTGAAGGGATGATTCCGTGAAATTTTTTTCCTATATTTCACATTCAA